CAAGTCTCATTTGATTGCCTCCCATAGGGATAGCATGATGGTAGTAAATAGAGGTGATTTTATTTTTTTAACTCCTCTTTTTAACTGAATGGCAACATTAGGCGGAATAGACCTGCTTAAAGGAGCTGTGGTGCCACACTGTATAAAGTGCTTGGCTGCCAACCTAAAGGTCAGTTTGAATCCACCAGCTGAGCCATGGGAGAAAGATGTAGCAGTCAGCTTCCATCAAGATTTATAACCTTGGAAACCCTATGGGGTAGTTCTGCTCTGTCCTATAGGATCCCTATGAGTCTGTATTGACTCAAAAGGTGTAATGGATTTGGGTTATGAACTGGAATCAACTTGATGGAAGTGGGTTTTTGCTTTGGACCTGCTTAAACTGATGTCCCAGGGAGTGCTTTTTAAGAATCCAGGGTCAGTTCTTACCTCTGGGAGGTCCTTTTAAACATTGCTGTCAAGGGTTTGGATGAAGACAGTAGACTGGAGGATGCTTAAAGGAGGAGTAAAAGGATTTGCTAATTCAGTTCCTGCTAAGCTTATATATAAATTGTAGATTTCATATCTTGCCTACCTTACAAAGTTATGAACATCAAAAGAAAAGAGCCCTGATTGGTGCTGTGGGTTAAGTGTTTGGCTGCTGTGAGGTCAAGTGGTTCAAACCCACCAGTCACTCGGAGAAAGATGAGGCTGGCTGCTCCCATTAAGATTAGTCTCAGAAACCCTATATAAGGTCATTGTGAGTCAGAATTGGTACAATGGCAGTGTGTTTTACCAACTGTAAAAGACTAAGGATCGATTCAATAGATCGTAATGTCAAATCTGTAAGTGCCACAAAGTTGGACAGGCTCATTGGTAGAAGATATTGAAGCAAGCTTTAAAATGATCAACAACTTGGAGATGAAATACTTTTGAACCTAAACCAAAGATTGAAATATAAAACCCTTATATTTTGGTTCAAAAAAGCAGTTATACAAGTTTTGTCACTAGAATTGCTGAGAAGTTCCAGTGATTACCAATATGAACCATTTTTAGCTACTTCAAGCCAACCAACCAACACTACAGTAAGTCTTTTGAAATCATTAAGTAATTGCCTAGGTACGAAAGAGTCATTTTGCAGTGGGCAGTATTGTACTGTATGTGCCAGACACTTGAGAGGTGCTGACAAATGCATATAAAAGAGAGGCCAATAGGAAAAAGGGGCTTTGAAAATACAAATGTGGTAGGATGAACAGCACACCCACATTACAATGAAATAAAAAGAAATACTCAGTTTCTCACTCACATGAGCAACATTTCAAGTAGTCCCTTCACACTGGTTATTGGCTACCAGACTGAGTGGCACCGACAGAGAACACTTGATCGCAGAAAGTGATGCTGCACAGCACTGATGGAAGGGATGGTTGAAGGAGCCTGAGGACTTGTACCTTGGGAGAGACAACTTGGTGGATGAAGAAGCCTGCAATGTACTACTTGAAGGGCTGCCAAGAATAAGATGGACTGCTCCTGATTATCAGTCAGCTCCAGGGAGTATGCCTTTTGGGTTGAAAAAGCTTCAACAAACCATTATCACCATTGGAAAGTATGACTGCGCTTTCCTCCTTTGGAATCATTTAAGGACATCCTGCCCGTCTTATTATCCAGATACTATTGTAGAGTGAATTCTTAATTTCGATGAGAGGTTGGACTGGGTACCCTTTACAGGTGTGCCAAAGAGTCCTGGTGGCACAGTGGGTTACATACTCGGCTGCTAACCACAAGGTAGGAGGTTCAATTTTGTCTGCTGCTCCTCGGGAGAAAGATGAAGCTTTCTGCTCACATAAAGATTTACAGCCTCAGAAACCCACAGAGGCAGTTCTGGTCTGTCCTGTAGGGTCATTATGAGTCAGGATGGCAGTGAGGTTTTTTGGGTAAAGGTGTACACTACCTTTATCCTCCACTCTCGGGCATAATTTAGTTCCAAATCTATGAAAAATGTTTTTCTGTCATAGCCAAGAAGCCAATCTTCTTGGAAGGCCAGGATCCTCCCCCCTAACTTTTATTTTTATTTTTTAAGTGTATGTAGTAGGGGATAGCACTTAAAAAGGAGGGTCTCAAGTTTAAATTTCTAGAGTTCAGAGTGGAAATTCCTCTAGCTTCCTATTTGGTGACAAGCTATGGTTTGTTTTCATTAATTCCTTGGGTCTCTGATCCAAAAGGGGTCACCAGAGATGGAAAGACTAGAGAAATGGACTTGAACTAGGTGGGAAGGTGAGTCCTACTGAGTTTGAAGTGGAAGCAATATGCACAACCAGCGATTTGCTCTGAAAGGAGCATCGGGGTCCACACAGTATCCAGTTGAACTTCATACATAACGTTACCTACCTTGGTGGATGCTTAGCTCTGTCTGGCTCACTCCACACCTTCGAATATCCCAACCGTAACCTTCCATCGGGAAGGACGGGCACAGGCGCTACCTTCTCCGTACACAGTGCCGACTCCCGAGCATGGCGCAGCAGTCCCGCTTTTATCTCGTTACCCAGGCTACTTAACGCAGAGGTCCGATCTCTATTAACCTTTGAAGGCGGGAAGGGTCCATTCCAGTTTTGAGTCCCGTGGTACCCAGAACATCGTTAGCATCATTGGTAGGGCAAGTACGTTGGCACAAGAACTATCAGTAGACTCCAAAGTCCCCAGAAGGCAACCTCCCCCAGCACCCCCGCGATAATCTCCGGAGCCTGGTAGAAGGCAGGGGCCGGCGAGGGGCGCAGAGCGGGGTCAGATAGGTCAGAAGATGGGTCAGGAGGTGCAGGCTGGGGCCAAGGCCCCTAGCCAGAGTCTAGAGGCGCGGCGGGTCCGGGCCACCCTCCTCGTGACTCCTCCCCCTCCCCTTCCACCGCTTCCAGTCAGGTGATTGCGAGCACGTGACGGGGCGCCACCTACCCTGCTGCTCCCGAGTGGCAGCTCGGGCGGCCAATCAGGGGCTGGGCC